TAAACAAATATACAAGGCTGATAACGTAAATTGAAACGTAAAGGCGCGCGATTCATCCCTGATACGTGCGCTCGATCGCGCAACGTTATCACGCGACGTTATCACGCGATGTCGTCACGTTACCTCACGTACTTATCGGAAGTGTAGGTTGATAGAACTATACGTGCGATGACATGGGATGGGATCAAGCTCAATATTATATAAGAAATAATATTTCATACATTGTATTTGCAACGCAACTAATCCCAACTAGTTTATAGTTTCAAATTTTAGAATGAATATCTACAGGATTTGAAATGTACTTAATAAACAGTTTTTATCGTAAAGAATTGAATCTTTTACAAGTAGTACTCGAACTCTAAGAACGAAGTTAGTTTAAAGAATGTAATGCGTAAAGATTTCAAATAACTTTTCTTCCATAGTTTTAATTATATTTGTATTGCATATTTAACTTCAACGATTGATAATCTAATATTTGTAATTATTGATAAATAATATATTAAAATAATTGTCGCTTTATACAAACGTTTTGATTCGAAGGAACATCTAGTAAAGTAACTTATAAAAAATTCAAACATATTTGATCCAGATTCGAGTCCATTTATACTTTTATTTTTCGAGATATTCATAAGGGGTTTTAACATCGTTTCGCCCAAGTTCGGTCTTGAAAGTATTGCTTTTATATTTTTCGAAGTATAATCATAGAGTGTTCGAAACTACCAACAGATTCGAGCCTAACTTGTAAGATCCCATCGCTAGCGATAACAATCGTATAATTGTTCGTGGTTCTTTTTGTGGTTCTCACGAAATGGTTGCGGATATTTTGCCGGTGATTTCGCCGTCGCGGGAACAATGGGCGTCTCGGCACCTGCCATATCCGATGCTCGTCCGATGCGGCGCGGCGGAGGCAACAATCGCGGCGCGCCAAAGTCGTACGGCGGCGCGTGAAAACGCACAAACGGCGTGATTTCGCGTTAAAGAGCCCGGGGGAGAGGGAGGCGTTTCTGCAATTGCGGTAATTGGCACGAAAGTAACGACTGGGGGTTTTTACGTTCGAGATCTTTAACGTAAACGCGCTCGTGAACGCGATTCCCGTTTCATTCATCACGACTCGCGTTTTACGTACGTACGTTTCACCGCGTGTGTACGTATGGGAAATTAAATTACTCGTCTCGTTAGGCGCACGTCCGCGCGCGTGCAAAGAAAAAAATTCGAAGAGAGAGAGACGCGCCGTTTCCTCGTTTTAATAATTATCGAGGAGGCCCCGAACGGGATCGTTTTCTTGCGAGCAAAAAGGTTTGAGTAAAATCGTCAGCGTGCGAGTAGCATGTTTATTACCGCGCGCGTCAATAATTCTCACGTTCTCGATGACAAGCGGTAAACGATGAGTTAAACGATATTCGTGATGTCTAGTTTCATTAATACGGTCATTAAAGATAATTGATATCGAACTTCCATTTTTCACTCGTCGTTATTTCCGCCGTAAACGACGCAACGTCGCTGTCGCGAGGCAAGATCACGGGGAAGTGATGCAAAAATCTTCGAATAACAACATTGCCGAGTCGCGAAACTTTTGCAAGTTTGTCAGTTGCAATCGCTGTTGTGTCAAAGCCGCGTTTCTCGCAATTTCCGTTTCTCACAATTTCACGCGACAGAACGACGTCCTCTATATCAAGATCTATTAATCTTATTTATCAATCCTCGAAAGTCGTGCTCGCTGTTGCGTCAAAGTGTATTTTTCGTAATTTCCGTTTCTCACAGTTTGGCGCGACCATAATGAAATCTTCATTCTGTCGAGATCTATTAACATTTTAACGGGAAACGGACGCCTGCGGTGATTTTTACACCCCAATATCGAAAAAATAAAAATGATGCTTACAGTAATTTTAATGCGCTTCTTTCATTTTTAAAATATTTTTTTTGTTTTTCCTTTCTTTTTTTCAGAAAATGTTGAGTAAATCTATTGTGCTCAAATAATAAACTTACAAATTATAGAACGATAAAAAATATGCAATATATAATTAATAATAACTTTTAATTGGGGGGTATATAAAATCACTCCAGGTGATAATTTACGTAAAAAAATATATCAGGCACCTATTCCTTTTAATCTTCAAGTAAATAGGAAATATCCCAATATACGGGCTGGATCTTTTGTGCCTAATAATATTTTTCACGTGAATTTATGTGTACATTTCTATTAATTTTATTTTTATATTATATTTTTATTATTATATTTTAATAATCTTATTTATCAATCCGCGAAAGACTGTGCTGAAGCGACTGATAACGAGTCGAGGTGTGCGATATGGTAACATTTACCTTAATTAACTTAATCAGACGGTCCCAGTCTCGGACATTCCCAGTCGCGTACTTGAAAACGCGCGCGGAGAAAAACTAATCGGTTTTAATCGCTGCGACCGGCTCAATCGATCGCCCGACGATCGTCGAGACAATCGGCATCGGGCGACCGCGGGAGCTTATCATCACCACACTTGGGATTCACCGCGGCACCAACTCCGCACCGCGAGCTGGTCGGAGGTTTACTGACACCGGCGCGGCGCGGCACGACCGGCACGATGCAATGTAGCGGCGCGGAGCGGAGCGGAGCACCGCGCGCGGTGCTGAGGCGCCTTCACCTGCTCGTAATGTAAGCAGAGTTTATCTGAGTTTATCTCGCGATACATCATGCGCGGGGCTAGGACGTAAGGGACACACGCGTGCACACGCGCGCACGTCCTCGACGTGTAGCCGATAATCAAACGTTTTCTCGTCGTATGCGTATATACGCAAAGCGAGCATGAAACGGGAATGTAGAACTGGATAAATCGCCGCGGATAAGTCGAGACGCATCGCAAAAGAGTGACTCCTTAATAAAAAATTTTTCATATAAAAGTATGTATAAATGTGTAGAGAATTATACGCTGTTAAATATTAAAGAAATTTAAACAAATACCTTGATTGCTAAGTAATATTTTGTTATTTTTAACCATATGTGTCGAAATTTATTATTTTAACACAAAACAGTATTATTTTAACTTCATTGCTTTAGTTAGATTAACGACATATTGAGCAGGAGCAGTAATGATCTACAGAAATGGTTAAAAACGACTCAAGTTGAGTACATAATTTGACACTACGAATTTAATAGTATATATTATGAAATATGTTCATATATGTTTCCTTTCTCTTTTGTATAATCTCTGTTCGTATATACAGAAAAAAAATAATAACAAGAATTAAAAAATAATTAAAAGGATAACTTTCGCGTTGTTTATTTAAAAAAAAAATAAAGTTTGAGGAAATGAGAAAAAATTACCTATATATATAATTGTCTTATAATTTTCTACACACCTATAAAATATGAAACAGATTTGAAGAATCAAGATACGCGTATAAAATATTAAAGACACATATATGTAAGAATACATGACATACATATAAAATGATAAATAAGACTCTAGCCTGAAATCTAACGCAAGTTACAGATTCTTTAAAATAGGCCTAAAATATGTGTGACACATTGCAATTACAGATTGCAGATATGATGTCGTCTCATTGGATGCATCATGTATTAAAACTAGAGTTATCTAGGTGAAACGCTTGATGTAAAATGAAACGGTTTCTACGGATAATTTCCTATCGGATACACGTGCGACAAAAATTAGTAGTTTTCACGGATATGAAAGTTCATAAAGTACGTTTTATTCGAAGGAAAACGTTAAAGAAACGCTTATAATTTGCGGAAACTTTTATGTATTGAAATGTCTTGTGTACATCATTTAATTACTCGAAGTAATTACAATTTTACGAAAATAAATTTGATTTATTTATTATAATAAATTTATTATAAAGCGTCTATCTAGAAATATTATTTTTTTTATCATTTTTTTTAGAGTAAAAAATAATATTGGAGTCGAAGCGAATAGACGTTGCATATATTATATATATGGGTGAAGAACATATTTTATACTTTATACTTCGAATCTAATACTAAAATCGAATCGCGATATAATGTTTTGTGATTATAAATCACACGGATTAGAAAAAAAACAAAAGATATACATATTATACTTTTAATTTTGTAACGAATGAAAGTGATATAGAAATTATAGTTATATTAGCTGATTTGCTAGCTTGAATCCGCCCATTTTTTAGCAGTATTATTTAAACACATCTGATTCTACGCTAAAATTTGAAACAAACTCATATTGATAACGCATTTTTAATTTATTATGATCCGATTATAATATCTATTTAATTATCGAAATATTTTCAAGATAATCATAATGTGTCTTACACCAATTTGCATAAATGTTAAATTTGATAAATTAGCCTACAGTGCAGTATTAATTTTCCAATTTATTACAATCCAGATTTTTCATAAATACGTATACATGTCTATGGTGTAATAATATTATTGTATATTGTACATTTTTATAATTATTATCTATTTGTGTGAATCGTTCACGCAGATAATAATTATTTTAAAAAAATGTAGTTTTGCAAAAATATATATCTATATTATTGTAAATGTATACATTTATTTATAAAATATTTGGATAAAACATAAAATTAATATTGCATTAAATTTCATGTAGAGTAATTCAAATTAGACACATCGGATCCATATTTGATAATTACAAAAATTTATTTATTTTGAGTCTTTTTTAATAGTTTATCGACTACTCATAATCAAGTAATTATGTCGACGAGATGTTAAATTATAAAGACTGCATAAATTATCGTGATTATCAAATGAGCCCAATGACTGAAAAATATGGACGTTTTCGATTGTCGACATAAATTTTTCAACCATCGGTAAAATATCTGAATAATTTGTCTATGTCGGCAATTGATAAGTTTATATCGATAATCGATAATATCAATACTCTTCAATTATCTTCGCATCTAACGGGTCTCCATTATAATTATAATCATTATAATTTGCCCGATGATCTTTAATCATTTTAATTAATTATAAATATTTTGTATATTACCTTTCGAAGATCAAGCTGTCCTGTCGGTAATCGCATACGTTGCAAGTGCTGCATTTCGACGATAGATCTGTTTCTCCGTCGGTATCGTCACAGCGATCTTGATCTCTCCGATGATCTACGACGACGTTCCACGTTCGGTGGATAAGATAGAACAGATAAAGCGACTTGCCTCGTCCGCAGGGTTGCGATCTCGCGTTCCCCATTGTTGTTAATTTTGTCGAGTTTTACTTTTTACAGTTTATAACACAAGCACACGACACGCCAAATTAAAAGCAAATTATTAAGAGAAAAAAACTTATTGCTTGATCGCACTATTTTTTGCACACTTGCATAGAATATTACAGTTCTGCATAATGTCTTTATTAATTAAATTACGCGTTTATCTTTCCAAGTCAATCACGCGCAGAACTTTTTAACTTTCACATTCGGTACACTTTGTCACTGCTCGACACCCTGAGAATGAATTTGCGTAAGTTTTCCCGAGAGATACTTTTTCCGCGTTACATGTAATGCGAAGATCGCATGACCGGCCATCGAGACCGTGAGATTCTGAACTGCTTGAGTCCCGCGTGCCATGACCCCGGCCTTCAAGTCAGAGTCGTGTAACAGCTTAAGTAATAGCTTATGCTTTCCTTCACGGGCGGTGTGGCGAACTCGGAAGACAGGTCTTTGCAACCCACTGAATTTATCATTTGTTTTTGTCATTCGATTTAACATGTTCGTTAGATTTTGAAGGCTTTCGTCTCTGGACTACATTGCATCTATGTCATCTATCCTTAAACAGATTTAAAATAATAATTACTCGGGATATATAATTAAAATCTCAGACCAGACATTACTATGCATTGCGATGCCTTTTTTTTATTATTCGATACTAATAAAGTAGATTCTATTTTTTTGGGGACGTAGAAACCAAAAATGTGAGCGTCATGTGACTTGTCTTATCATGGTGAGAATTGTGATTGTATTATATGATATTGGCACAAATGTATTAATTTAGTTTTCGATAAGTTCGTATATATATATCTCTAATTTCTTTCGCAAATTTCGGTGTATTGTGTATGGTGTATTCCAATTTCTTCTTTTTTATGCCAGTGTCTGGCTTTACTTCCTGTTCCAATTGTTTATCCATTATGAATGACTGTTGTATTAAATCGCGAATGCGCACGGTCCGTAATATTACTTCATTACTCGGCATTGCCCGTACGATTGTGTTTACACTTGCGTAATTACGGGTCGAGACAAGAACTCGAAAGTAGCACTTATTTAGAATGAACGCTGCATACTGCACTTCTTCAAATGGCGAGGGGATTAAAACGCGATTTTACGACGCGACTTTATTAAGATCTCGTCCCGTAGAACGTCCGTAAATTACACTCACGACACTCACGTGGGAATGTTTTATGTTAGATGTAATTATATCTCCCGTTCTAATAAAAATCTATTTATGAAACAGAATGTGTTTGCTTCAAAATTACTTTAATTTCGTATTTTTTCTTCTATTTTTGTGTTCGCGAATATTGTAAATAACTACAATATGTATAAATATATATAATTATATATAAAATATGTCCATATACATTTTAATATACCTATTTTATATGATTATATATAGACAGTTTTTCTCATTTTCTCAAATTTTACTTTTATTAAAAAAAAACAATGTGAAAATTATCCTTTTAATTATTTTTTAATTCTTCTTATTACAATATTATTTTTCATATATATACGAACAGAGATTATACAATAGAGAAAAAACCTACATGGACATATTTTGTATAATTATGTATATATATGTATACATATATTCACATGTTTTTATATAAAAAATTTTTTATAGACTGTGAATGTATTATCGCGCAAACATTTACATTTACTGGCTCATATACTGAAAATCTTTGTTTAAATATTATCTAGTTATACACGATTTTTACTTTGGTTTTTTCGATACTTCTATTTTCTATCGTCTTTTGATTCACAATATACGCAGTCACTATTTACGCTTTCCCACGAAATTATAAGATCGCTTACGTACGTGACCGTGTATAAGTACAACTAGTTCTTCTTCTGATTGCGGATGTGTCATTAGTGTCACTGTCACTGAAATGCCTCAGAAATTCTCACGTTTGTTCACCACGCGTGATGTTCACTAACCGCATCGCTCTAGCTGTCGCGAAGAGGACGCGATTTTCTCCAAGTATTTTAAAATATTCCATCGCGCTTTTGGCTCAAACGATCGTAATTATCTTTTTTTTGTCAGCGTAACGGAGCCTCGCGATTATTTCGAGTGACTCGTCGATGTTCTCGCTAAGTGCGACAGCGATTTATCTTCCCTCCATTATTCGTTCGTAAATCAGTCTTGTACGCAGTCGTTACTTACATTTACATGTGCCTTTCAAACGAACTTGTCCCACCGCTTGATATGAAGATTAATCTTCAATCTCGATTTTGATAGTTCTGTATATTGTATAGTTTGGAAAAAAAAGGGAGTTCATACCAGAATTACCTATACAAATCGAAGGAAGTTTTTAGCTCTCTCAAGATTAAATCTGTTTTCAAATGTATTTCGGTACTATTTCGTATACGGTATCGTTTTATGTATCATGAATTATTCTTGTCACGCGTCACTATGCCAATGAGTCGAGTTGGAATTGTCAAGAAAGTATGCCACCGGGAAATCGTTGTTGGAAAACCTAGTGGTCTACTGAATCGGAAGACAGCATGGAAAATTTGTAGAAGTCGTTATTACGCTGCTTCATGAAGGCTCTAATACTGTCATATATATTCTCTGCTGTACAGAGAGAAATATAGACTACGTTTACACAGCGGCTTATAATCCGGTTTTAACTACCGTATACTATCCAATCCAAAATTTTTCTTTTTTGATCATAATGATCATTTAAATAGGAGCTTTTTTTGATACTTAAACTCCAATTTTTAATATATATACATCAAAAGAGATTGATTTAAATGTTTAGAGTATAAAATAAGCTCGTATTTAAGTGATCATTATGATAAGAAGAAAAAAAATTTTAGATTAGATAGCATACGGTAGTTATTAAACCGGATTACAAGCCGTCATGTAAACGTAGTCACAGAATATACATAAAGTATGCATGTACAATATATACATTTATATAGAGTGTAACCAAAATATCGGGCAGTACTTAAAAAACAAAAAATTTATTACGTTAATGAGTTCAAAAATGCTTAATTTCTGAGATATTAAAGTTGAAAACTCATAAGGCATTGTCGTATTGCATCATCAACAGCAGTCTCCATCGATATTTCGACCGGTATTATCATGTGCTTCCGCACTCAGGTTTTCAAAGCAGACATACAGAGCTTACTTTAACCAAGCTTAAAATAATTTAGTTGACTACGTCCCCCTTAGAAAAAGACGAAGAGTAAGTTAATCTAAGATTAAAAGTTAACCGACACTTGTGAAACTGGCCCTTAGATAACTAAAGTGAAGTAGTTGCGGTAGCTTCTGACAAGATCCGCAATATATCGAGAATATTCACACGTGTCTGGGAGTCACTAAGGTCAGGTCTACAATAAGTCGGAGTCGAATGTCGGATCGGAATGCAGCCGATGATCCAATGAGAGAATTTCTTTTTCGAAAATAAATTTTCCTCATTAGACCATCGGCTGCGTTCCGACATCCAACCCTGACGTACGACTTATTGTAGAACCGGCTTAATGCGGCGCACAAAGGCTTGTCTCAGCGCTGTTAAATTCGTAGTGTCAAATTATACTCAATTTGTCATTTTTTACTACTCCTATAGGTCGCCACTGCTCCTGCTCGATATGACGTTAATTTAACTGAAACAATGTTAATTTAATTAAACCAATGGAATTAAAATAATACCGTTTTGTATTAAAATAATAAATTTCGACACACATGGTAATTAAAATAACAAAATGTTATCTAACTTAAGGTATTGGTTTAAATTTCATCCTTTAATATTTAACAAAGAGGGCTGAAGGTGAATATTATAAACATTAAATTAATATAATATTATTGAATATTATATTGAATATTATGAACATTTAATTAAAATTTTAAATTTAATACGATATTTTGATTTTAAAATACCATGAAGATAGAGCGTAAAATCTGTATGTCATACGAAAAGGTAATAAATGCTGTATCAGAAATCAAACATTTTTAGAATCGTGTTAACACTTTTACACAACTTTTCGCTCTTTAAATATTTAAAGGAATACATAAAGTTTTGTCCAACGTTTTTGTCACACACATTTTATACATATATGTATTATGTGTATACATAACATAACATACGTGTGTGTATAAATTATTATTCTGGTACGAAGTTAATCCACATAATTCAATTGACACTGAAATCGTTGAAACAATGTAACAATAATCTTTAAAATAACACATGTGAATTTAACATTAATTGAATAACGCGTTTCACTAGCATAGTGACATCATAACGCTCTATTGTTTTAAGAATATTTCAACGATTACGGAGCACTTTACTCACATTCATTTGTAGCATTATAGACTCGTGAGACAAAACTCTTAATGCAACTGTAGTATTCAGTAACATTCTTGTGTAAGAGGATTGGAACAAAGAACAATTTTAAATATTCCAAGCACAGACAATCCTATTGAACTCTCTATCTCTCTTCCCCCCTTTCTCTCTCACTCTTTCTTTCTTTTTCTCTGATATTCAGTAGAAGTCATTTATCTTATCCGTGGCATCAATTTTAACACCGACTGGTAGACCGCCGCGCCGTAACGTGATGCGAAGCTGCCATCGGAGAGATTTGCTAAAAATCACACTCAACACCGCCCCCGCACTACTCTCTCTCTCTCTATCTCTCTATCTCTCATCCCACCGCCTCGCGTGAACATTCAATACCGTGCATTACAGCCACCGTGAAAATTATCAGTTAAAAATATCGGCACTTCTCCTCTCCATCCCACCCCCTCCCTCTCGCGTGAGAGATTCCCTCTCGATAGTATCTCTTCGTAGCGCGAAATTTCTTTTACGGTACGACCGCCTAGACACGAACCCCTCTGGGCGCGACCGAGAGGTTGGCAAAAACGCGGCGTTTCAGAGCCCGCGAGTGGCATTCACCGGGCGGCTTTCAAGAGCCGACTGCCAACCCGCGAATGCCCCGAGGTGCACGTGTGCACGTCGCCTCTCTCGGCCGCCTCTCCAGCCGACTCCAGCGAGTCCTCTCGTCTTCTTCCTCGGCGCGGCGCGCCACAGCCTGGCGCGGCCTGGGCTGCCGATAACTCCGCCATAAACTCGCGTTCACAGCCTGACGAGAGAAAGACCGTGGGCTTTGCGGCTTCGGACTGTGGGTCAAGTCGCGACCTACGGCGCGCTGATACATCGTGGGGCCCGTTCGCCTCCTCGAATACCTCGGAATCCAGGGGACCAGGGGATCCGCCTTACTGGGTCAGGTTCAATCGCCTTCGGTGAACGCGACTCTCGATTTAGGACACGGTATCTTTCATTGTTAGCTTTATACATTCC